CCCCATACCCACACCTGGATATGTCTTACTCTTCTTTAAGAAGCCCCCCCACACACACACTTTCCCCTGTGTTCTGTTCTCTTCTGACTACTTTTCCTTTTCTTAACACTCATGCTTAGCCGTACATTAAAATATCTAACATACTCTCCAACTCTGCTTCATTATGCTGGCTACTCCTGAAATTATTTTCAGCATTCATGCCATGAATACTGGTTTGGCCTGGGACAAGGTCCCTAAAAGTCTAAGGGAACTCCTCAGGCTACTGAAGGTGACAGTGGGGAGCTGTGTTAACACATGTCTCCTAATTTTTCTTATATGAAGGAATCACATTCCAATCTACTGTGCTAGCAAGACCATGCAAATTTGTGGCTACTTTTTTTTTTAATGTGTGTGTGTGTTTTGCGAGTGCCCATGAGGCAAGAAGAAGGTATTAGGTCCCCTGGAGCTAGAGTTACAGGTGGTTAGGAGCTGCCCAACATTGGTACTGGGAACTGAACTCAGGTCCTTTGAAAGAGCAATATGAGTTCTTTACTGCTAAGTCATTTCTCCAGCCCTTGGACTCAACCTAGTGGACTGAGGCTGCCATTTCTTAATAGACTTACAGAGTCAGTCTATAGCTGGTATCCACACATGGCTTTCAGGATTCATTCTTCACTACTAACTTGAATTGGGTCATTTTTTATGTGCCTATGCTGTTTATTTTATTGGAGACAACTCTCCCTACAGGGATCTCATAGAGATTGGCTGCCTGTGCCTCACTTCTGCTAAGATTAAAGGCCTCCGTCATCACACAGCTACATGTACTTGGGAAGGGGTGTGTGTGGCATGCATGATTGCCACAGTATATATGTACAGTCAGAGGACAACTTGTAGGAGTGGGTTATCTCCTTCTACCATGTGGGTCCCAAGGATTGCGCTCCTTAACACACTGAGCCATTTCACCAGCCTGCTTTTTCATGTACTTCTAGCAGCACATAAAAACCTGAAAACTGGCCAGGTGTGGTGGCACACGTCTTTAATCCCAGCACTTAGGAGGCAGAAGCAGGTGGATATTTGTGAGTTCAAGGCCAGCCTGGTCTACAAAGTGAGTTCAAGGCCAGCTGGGGCTACAAAAAGGCCAAAAAAAAAGAAAACACCAACCTAAAAACTAGTACCCTAGTACAACTATGCCCTTGAACAGACTACTGCAAGTCTAAAACCAGGGGGAATTAGTCTTTAGAACTGTTGCCACTTTTTAGATAAGAGTGGCTGACAATTTAGCTCACCAGCACTATATCCTCAAATAACATTCTTACTACAGCCTCCCAAGTGCTCAGAGATAAATATTCTCTTCTGAGCAGAATGCAGAGGGTACACCTCAGGTTTTCTTACTTAAAGCCACAGGTTTTTATAGTCTATGCTTTGAAGACATCAGCTGACCATCAGCCATACAGTTGAATATCATCAGAGCCCATTTCAGAGAAAGAAAGTCATTCTTTTAGTGTTCATTCTCGTGATTACAAGCAGGAATCTTGTTTGAAAGAAACAACAAAACAAAACAAAAAAACAACAACAACAAAAAACCAACTCAGGGCTGGAGAGATAGCTCAACTGGCTGCTCTTGCAGAGGATCCAGATTCAGTTCCCAGTACCCACATGGCAGATAACAACTACCCATAACTCCAGCTCCAGAGGATCTGATGCCCTCTTCTGACCTCCACAGGCATTGCATGAGAGGGGTGCACCTACATACATGCAAGCAATACACTCATACACATAAGACAAAAATAGTAAATAAAAAACATTGAAAATAAAACAAAAAACCCAACTCAGTAATCCCAAGGAGGTGGCCATCAAGCAGCTGCTGTACAAGGTTCCTTTGTAATGCTATAATCCTGGTGTCTGTCTCTTTGCACTCACTATTGTGGTTTAGAGGTTTCTGTTGTTATATGGTTTGAGACAAGGGTAGCCCAGGCTAACCTTGATGACTTTGAACTTCTGCTGCTTATGTTTCCAACTCCCAAATGCTGGGATTATAGGCATGTATCACTACCCCTGGCTTATACAGTACTAGGGATCAAACCCCAGGCTTCCTACATTCTAAGAAAACACTTTACCAACTTGAGCTACATTTCCTAGCCTGATTTTTTGTTGTTGTTGTTGTTTGTAGCTTTTGTCTTGTTTTGTTTTATTGAGGCAGAGCCTGGCTATATAGCCCAGGCTGGCTTGGAACTCACTATATAGAACAGGCTCGCCTTGCACTTACAACAATCCTCCCATCTCTGGAGTGCTGGGATTACAGGTGTGTACCACCACACCTAGCAATAGTCACCATTCTTGATTGAGAGACTCTCGAAATGTGCCAACTTTAGACCATCCTCCTCTGTCACGTGTACTTATCACTTTAGTGGAAAACTATCTGTGGAGAACTGTTAGGCAGACAAGGATAAATGTGATGCTGACTGTCCTCACCAGCTTGTGATTGCCACACAACCATGGAAGCCAGAAGGCAGAATTGCAATTCCAGAGTTCCATTAAGAAGCCTTTCCTGGCCAGAAGGGATGGGTCAGTGATTAAGAGTACTGACTGCTCTTGTAGAGGACCCAGGTTTGGTTCCCAGCACCCACATGGCGGCTAACAACCATCCATAACTCCATTTCCAGGGGATCCAACACCCTCTTCTGATCTCCTCAAGCACTACGACACCAGTGCACTTATATACATGCAGGCAATACATTTAGACACACAAATTTTTTTTTAAAAGAGGGCTTTCCTTCTCTCTAGAACTGTATCTGGCTCAGGAGTTGCAGACAAGCAGTCAGCTATGGAGGGGCCTCACTCAAACTCCATGCAGGAATTAAAGGGCCTCACAGCACATGGCAGGCCCTCCACACAAACCACACAGCAGTCACACATTAGCCAATACTTGCAAACAACAAGATTCTTAGGAGTGTATCATCTCTCCCAGTCATCTAACTTGTACCATTGTTTCCCCCTTTTCCTATGTGAGAACCTGGAATAATCCAGAACATAAAACAGCTGTGAAAGGTCCCAGTACACATGTGACACGAGAGTCCACACTAGAATTTTTAATCTGCAACATAAGCTATGTAGCCTGAGAACCCGGGAATGTTTTCTTCATATGAAATCTCTTGTGCAAAACTAGAGTGTATGAGCCAGCTGAAGCACAGAAGAGTATGTGGTCCCCTCTGCCTGCTTCCTATGGCAGCCCTCACTCCAGCCTATAGACACAGCATGAAAGCCCATGCACTGGTTCAAGACTGCAGGAGTGATTGTTAATTCGGTAAGGCACAGACACACAAGCTATAAAAAGCTGCTCTTGTATGAACCCCCAGACAAAGGAAGCATTAGAGCTATGAGCTTCTCTTCACAGTAATGCCACTACAGGAAGGTTGGTGCAACACAAGCTCACACAGACACCCCCTCCCCCATCCTCCAGGAGCTAACAGCAGCACTGCAATGATTGTTTACCGGGGGAGAGTCTAAACAAAATACAGCATTATTATAATAATCACCCTACCAAAGTCTGGAATATTCTAGTTCTTCCCACTTTTAAACTTTCTACACAAATATAATACATATAATATTCTTGGATGACAATAAAGTTTAATTTGTCCCAAGCTATTCTTTAAATGTAATGAAATACCCATGAAAGAATTTTTTACTCTACCCTGATCTTAATCATTATGCAGTTGCATCCGGGAGACTAGAAGAACAGAGAAATACCTTTTTTTCCATTCTTTGTTTTTTGAGACAGACTGTCTTTGGTTGGGTATGTGGCCAGTAGAGTACTTGCCTAACATGTATGAAGGCCTGGGTTCCACCCTCCATTCTGTATAAATCTAGTGTGGGTGACACATGTTTATAGCCCTATCACTTGGGAGGTAGAAGATAATCAGGAGTTCAAGGTCATCCAAAGTTACATAAACTTGAAGGCCAGTCTGGGCTATATGAGACCCTGTGTCAAAACAACAAAACAAAACACACATACACAAAAAGCCCTAGAAACAAAAGACAGGATTGTCTTGCTATGTACACCAAGCAAGATGGCCTGGAATCTAGGATCCTCCTGCCTCAGTCTCTCAAGTGTTAGGATTACAGATGTACACCACTACATCCAGCAAAATGTATCTTTTAAAATTTTAAATGATAATGGGACTAGGGTAGATACAGTCTTGATTTCCAATAATACTATGATAATGAAAAGAATAGCAGAGGTTTGATCCATTATAGGATCAAACTGAACTAAACAGAAATTCATGAAGCAAAACCAAATTACTCAACAATTTCAGGATGGACAAGGGAAGGCAGATCCCTACCTTACACACTTAATAGAAAATAAAATCTGCATAGATTAATAGATTTTGTTTCATTTTATCATTATAATTCTATTTGTTGATTTATTTATTTAGAGACAGGGTCTCACTGTGTAGTCCTGGCTGGCCTTGAACTCACACAGATCTGCCTGCCTCTGCCTCCCAAGTGCTGGGATTAAAGGTATGCTCCACCATGCCCAGCCCTAATTAACAGATTTTAAACTATATTATCAAAACTATAAAAGTGCTAGTAAGAGGGGCTAGAGAGATGGCTCATAGGTTAAGAACACTGGGTGCTTTTGCAGAGGACCCGGGTTTGATTCCCAGCACCCACATGATGGCTATCGCCCATCCATAACTCCAGTTCCAAGGGATCTGATGCCCTCCTTTGGCTTCCTCAAGCATTGCACAGGTGCACTTACATACATGCAGGCAATACATTCATATGCATAAAAAATAAAAATAATAAAATGTTTTTTAAAAAGTGCTAGAAGAAAGCATTGGGGTTCTATTTATAAGGCCTTTCCACAAGAAAGACTTTAGGTATGATATTAAAGGTGGAAAATGAAAATAAAAGGGTTGACTTTTTTTTCAGAAACTTAAATTCTATAATACTAAATTTTGTGAGATAGCTGTTAGTAACCATGCATCTTAGGCCGCTTCTAGAAGTAATAAGCTGGTTACCTGGAGGACAGTTTGCAAGATTCCTGTAGATGGTCATTCAGGGTCCCAGTTGCTGCAAGTAAGAGCCCCAGGTATGGAGGGGAAGGCTTCATTGGCCTGGAAGAAAACTCTGGATGGAACTGGACACCAACGAAATAGGGATGATCTGCAATGAAAGGACACAGGATGTTACTGAAGCAAACATACAAGAGAAAGGCAGGAAAGACTGTCTTATCATTGAATATGAACACTAGTAAGTACTCGAGTGATTATTTAACTTGCCATCAGAGTGACTTTCATGAACCACTTTTGGAGTAAAATTCCTAATTACAAAACACCTTTCACTTAATTATAGGCCCAGATTTTATTTTTTAAAAGAAGGTGCTAGGCTGGGCGTGGTGGTGCACGCCTATAGTCCCAGCACTTGGGAGGCAGAAGCAGGTGGATCTCTGTGAGTTCAATGTGAGTTCAAGGCCAGCCTGGTCTACATAGTGAGTTCCAGGACAGCTGGGGCTACAGGGAGACCCTGTCTCAAAAAGACCAAAAAAAAAAAAAGAAGAAGGTGCTAGACTGAGGAAAGGGAAGTAGGGCTTTTTGAGTGCTAGGATGAATTCTCCTCTAACCCCATCCTGCTTCTTCTTTCTTCTTCTGTTTATTTATTTAGAGACAGCATCTCCTGTAGTCCAAGCTGAGGATGACCTTGAGCTTTTGATCTTTGTCCATCCACCTCCTGAGTGCTGGGATTACAGGTATGTGTCACCACACCCAGTTTACACAGTGCTGGGGATTGAACCTAGAGTCCTGCTTGCTAGGTAAGCACATGACCAACTGACCTACATCCCCAGCCCTCACGTTCTTCTGGAAGCCTTTTCACACATTTATGCTGGCTCAATTCCATGGTATCCCAGGCTAACCCTAGAGCGCTCTCGAGTTTCTCTCTTCTCTCCTCTCTCCCCACTCCCCTCTCCCTCCTCTCTCTCTCTCTCTCTCTCTCTCTCTCTCTCTCTCTCTCTCTCGATGCCCAGCTAGCCTTCTCTTAGACAGCTTCAGGCCACTTCCTACAAAATCTTCTCCATGATCAAGGGAAGGGTCCCTCAGGATAATCTAACACACTGCTAACACAGATTTGCCCCTGGAAATGCCAGGACAACTTCCTCTCTAGCAATAGCTTCACACTGGGTGCTAATTGCAGCACCATAAAAGAGAACTGGTACTGACATCAGCCTATGTAGACATATCCCCAGTGATGCAGTCTCTGAATGATAAAAGCATGGTCTTTCAAAATGGCAATGGAGTCATGGCACCAGGCAGCCGGCATTCTAGTTAATTTTTAATTCCTCATTCTTTCCTGTGTGGAGTGGCCCTTTACAACGCGCATACATTGTCATGGGGGAAATAGAAGCTGTTTTCATATTAAGGTTGTAAGAAGCTCCTATATGAGAAATTCATGGTACAAACAGAAAAGGGGCTTTCCCCAGATATCTGGAATCCTGTTTTGGAGCACCCAGAATGAAATAGGCAGCATTTTCAAATCTGGGAAGGAATGTCCTAGGATTCCAAATTCCTTCCCCAATCAGAACTCTAAAAAACTATGTTTATTCCCAGATTATGAAGCACATAGTTTGAACATATGTATGATTCCATAATTACTATAGTACAGAGCATGGTCAGTAAGCTGTACACTGAAATTTGAAGTATGTATCAAACTGAAGATTATAACAGACAATGTTTTATAGGTGGGAGTCAAGGTAAATTTAACACATTCAATTAGATGTTTTATCAAATGATATGAAAAGTTAGTACGGGTCTACAAGATGGCTCAGTAAGTCTGAAAACCTGAGTTAAATTCCCAGAGTGGAAGGGAGAGAACTGACTCATCTGACCTCTACCTGCGTGCCATGGCACCTATGCACCTGTAACAATGCATGCCACATACACATAAGGACACTAATAATAATGTTTTCTATATCTAATTTGGAATTTAAAAAATCATGAACTCCTGTCATTAATGGAGCTACTAACCCTACCTAATAAGGAAACAGTGACTGAGCAACAATGTCTTCTCTCCTAAGTTACCATTTAAAGTTCTGATATACAACATAAGATGGGTGTATAGCGCACGCCTTTATCCTAGCACTCAGGAAGCAGAGGCAGGTGGATTTCTGTGAGATCAAGGCTAGCCTGCTCCAGATCAGGTAGGGCTACACAGAGACTCAGGTTCAAAACACCAAAAAAAAAAAAGAAAAGAAAAGAAAAGAAAGCAAGAGGAAGAAAACCAAAACCAAACTAAAGTTCTGCTATACAACATGTGGCAATTTATATTCATTAAAATTAATCAAAGGCTGGGGAGATGGTTTAGTGCATAAAAACAGTTGTTATGAGAGCATGAAGACCTGAGTTTAAATTCCCAGCACCCATGTAAAAAAGTCGGCCATGGCTGCACATGCCTGTAACCCCAGAATTGTGGATGGAGACGAGTAGATTCTGGAGCTCCTGGGCAACCAGCCTAACAAAAATCAGGGAATTTCTAGTTCAGTGAGAGATCCTGCCTTGAAACAGTCAGGTGAAGAGTGATAAAGACACCAATGTCTTCCTCTGGGCTTTATATGTGCATGTGTGCACACTCACACACACAGACACAATTAACTGAGCAGTTTCAAACATTCAATAGCTTCCCCTGGCTAGTAGCCACCACACTGAATACACAGAATAGTTTCATCATTGAAGCAAGTTCTAGTGAACAGGCTGACCCCCCAAAAATACAGTGAAGGAATACTCTATATCTAAACAGAAGCCCCCTTATATTAGAGACCTGCTCAGATAAGAAAGCTTGCTACCTTCTCCCTTAACAAAAGAAGAGTTGGACGTGGCAGTACATGGGTGTAATCACAGCACAACAAAGTGGAGAGATCAGAAGTTCAAAACCATCATCAGCTATAATGCAAATTCAAGGCTAACCTGGGCTACATAAGACATCAAAATAAAACAAAAAAATTGTTTTATCACTAAAGACTAAAAAATATGATCAAAGTCGTATTTTTCATAAACATATGGACTATTCTAAATACAAAAAATAAAGATGAGGAGCTGGAGAGGTGGCTCAGCAGTTAAGAGCACTTGCTGCTCTTGCAGAGGACCATGGTTCGATTCCCAGCACCCACATGGCACCTCTGCAGGCGAAACACTCCTACACATAAAATAAGAATAAATAAATAAAAATGAATACAATCTTGGGGGAAAGGCTTAATTCTATAGGGTTAAGAATAACAATAGCTTTAGCTTTTTATATAAAAAATACTTTTTAGGGCTGGCGAGATGGCTCAGCAGTTAAGAGCACTGGCTGCTCTTGTAGAGGAGCTGGGTTCGGTTCCCAGCACCCACAAAGCAGCTAACAACTATTCACAGCTCCAGTTCCAGGGGATCCAATGCCCTCTTCTGATCACCATGGGTATTACACGACATGGGTGCACTTACATACATGCAGGCAATACACTCATACACATAAAATAAAAATAAAATATTTTTCTTTAAATACTTCTTATTTTATTTATTTTCTTATTTTATGTGTATGGGTGTTTTGCCCACATATATGCCAGTGCACTAACATGAGTGCAGTGCCCATGGAAGCCAGAAGAGGGCATCAGGTCCCCTAGAACTGAGGTTAAAGATAGGTGTTAGCTGCCATGAGGGTATTGGGAACAAACCTAGATCCTCTGCAAGAGCAGACAGTGCTCTTAACCGCTGAGCCATCTCTCCAGCCCAATAGCTTTAGCTCTTAATTACTACCAGATCACTTACTGAACTCAGTCTTGAAGATTTAATTCAACTGATTAATAGTTCCAAACCAGATAAGTCTTCTTATCTAGAATACATCTAATTAGTCAAGAAAAAAAAAAAAAGCCTAGCACTCAAGAGGCAGAGGCAGAGAGCAGTACAAATTTGAGCCAGCCTGATTTACACAGCAATTTCCAGGTCAGTTCTGGCTACAGAGTGAGATCCTGTCTCAAAACAAACAAAAGCAAAGGGGTAGTGAGATGGCTCAGCAGATAAAGGTGCTTGCTGCCAAGCGTGATGACCTGGGTTCAATACCCAGGACCCACATGGTAGAAAGAAACAACTCCCACAAGTTGTCCTCTAACCTCTACAGGCAAGCCAAGACATGAACCACCCCTCCTCAAACAAACAAACAAACAAATAAATAAATAAATAAATGTAATGCATTTTAAACAACAAAAATCAAAACAAATAAGTAAATAAAATTTATTAAAAAGAAGATAAGGTCTGCTGGATGTGGTGGCGCATTGCCTATAATCCCAGTCTAGTCTACATAGCAAGTTCTAGAACAACTGGGGCTACAGAAAGACTGGGTCTCAAACAACCCAACCCCCACCCCCATCCCCGCAAAAAAAAAAAAAAAAAAAAAAAAAAAAAAAAAAGGAAGAAAGGGAGGGAGGGAGGAAGAAAGAAAAAGAAAAGAAAGTCATTCACACAAGAAATAAAGCAATGTAATTTAAAAGTACAACAGTAATTGTGTTTCTGCAGGGCTACAGACAGAGCTATGAAACAGATGCTGTCACAGCCAGGGACAGACTGTACATATGAATGGATCACTGCTTGGAATCATTTCATCCAAACAAACTTTCTATGTCAATATGAGGAATGACTAAAGAGTTTTTACTTTGATGATGTTCTATCAGTCAGACAAAGTACCTTTAAAATAATGCTCTTAATTACTTTAAATCAGATTGTGACATTCTACAAATCTCAAGTCTTGTTCCTCTTAGAATCCCTAAAGGATGGTAGCAACTCATGGATGTGCTTCTAAAGGGTACTTAAGACCAAAATCTTTTGGGGGATTTTCCTTCATAAAATGAATTCCCTTGCAGTTAGCTTTTAAAAACTGCAAAGCTTTACAGCAGCTCTCATTTCCTTTCCAGCCCTCATGAAATCTGAAGGCATCAACCGGAATCTAAATCTTTGTGATGGAAGAGGCCTCTCAGTATTGCTGACAATAAGGAGAACCAGGAGACTGAAGAGAGTAAGCACTTGACAAAGTAAACAAATACTCATTTGCTTAAGAAATTCTCTGCCCTCTTCTCACATGTCAGAAAGATGCAGGAGGCTTCAACAGCAAACAGTGATCACATTTTAATTTAAAAAGATGGG